CCCACTGTATGTTATATTCCACCACTTTCACAGTACTCATGCTATCTTTTTCTCTACCTTGTGTCTGTCTCTTATGCATCTGTGAATCGCTCCCACCCCTAGACTTTCTGCTACTTTGATGAACCTTCCCTCTGTGAAGCCCGAAGTCAGCTAAATGGCTATTGATAGCTATCGAAACGCATGCCATTTGAAATAAATATTTTCCTGTTCTTGGAGGAAAAAAATTGATCATGAAAGGAACACACTATCTCCACTTTGTTTGCTTTCTTCTTCATGTAATCCTTCTCGCAGTCGTATTCTCTAGACCTATCATTCTGGTTCATTCTAGTCATTGCCTATGCGAAGATCGGTAAAACGTCTAATGATGGCGTCTTATTTTATTTTTCTCTTCTCATAGGCGACGACTCAGTAAAAGCTCGAACCATATCGCTAGATGCGGCTGTGCTTTCGTTGGATGGTACCAGATGTGTTGAGGGCAAGATGTCAACCGATCTTCCCTTCTTCATGCCCTGGGATTGCCCAAAACGGGCACGAAGAGATGAGTCTGAGAATTCCTCTCAACGATTGTTTTTAAATGACGAAATCACTGAGGTTTGTTTGCCTTACTTTTAACAGCTAAATTTCTGCTTCATTTTGTATGGTTGTGCGAATTGGTTCTCTAATCACTGAGTGTGCTTGAAGTCCGCTTTTAAATCTGTTGAAAGGCCTTTGCTAGTATGATCTGTAGGAGACTAATTGCTGGTCTAGTTCAATATTATTATCATTATTATTATCAGGGGTCATTTTCATTACAAAAAGGGCTTGCTTACTTGAGCTCTTAATCATTATGTGGGTGATCTGCATATGAAAAGAGAAATTTAAATATAGAAGAGGTGAGGAATGTATTAGCAGTGTTTTATTTTATAAACGTGCCGGCTTATCGATAAGTTTGTGGGGCAAAATCTCTCCTCACCTGTTGCTCAATTGGTGTTTGAAATTTCATCCGATAATTAGGTGTTTTAGTGAATGTTACAAGTAATTAAGAGAAGGACTAAATTTCCTGTCTTATTTCTCTATGTAATTTGAAGTTCGCAAAAATGTGAAACCATCTGGAAGGTTTTAATAGTAAAAGGAGTCATTCACTTCTACCTCTAATCTTTATTGTCCTGCAACCCATCTTAACTTTCAAATATTCACGTACATTTTTTAGATCTGACGAATTCCAAATGTATCATACCCTCCTTAATTGAATAACTGATTCAAAGAGGAGATTATATACTCCAGAGCCTAGTGATCGATTGGCCTAGTTTTGTGGTCGCTCATGTTACCCAGGATCAGGTATACTGGACTGGCAATAACCTTTCCTAACCTATCAGAGACCACTTAAGCTTACCCAGAAAAAGATGAATGTGATAACGGCTCCATCGTCAATGATGTAAATAGAAGCGGAGTGGTCATTAGGTATTTGCAATGCAATTCGTCTTGAAATCGGTAGTGGGCAGCGATTTTAGCTACGTGCAAGCCATGATAAGTCGATTGTTCATATTAACTCTCCTCTCCCCCCCCCCTCTTGGTGTGATTCTATTAATGCTGAACTACGAAACTCCTTAAGTCAACCTTTCAAAACGTCCAAATTCGATCGGATAACAGTGATCAAAGAGCTATCCTTAGAGTCGAAATGGGCATTGTTTTATATTGCTTTTTATGACTATCAAAACGCCTGCCATTTGAAATAAATGAAGGAGGTTACTTGTCAGTACAAACAAGAAACTATGTCTAAAATCAGTTAAGGTCATATTTTCTGGCTTAAGGCAAAATCATTGGGTTGATGTCTACAGAAAAGCTTTAAATTTTTATAGCCAAATGATGGTAAATGGTTCGTTCGAAAATGCGTTGATTCATCCCACTTCCAGTGGCATTTTGTTTGGAATCCTTTGATTTACTGAAAGCACGTTTGATCAGCGTTGATTTGGAGTTTAGCCGCATCTAGCCCATTTTATCCACACCCTCATCATCTCAGATATGCCGTTATTTGATATCTTCGTTGGTTTACTGAGCTAGTATATTCCGAACTGTCTTAAAAATTTGGAAGGAGGGCAAAATCTCGAGAAAGTTATGGAGATTTGGCCCTCAAAGTTCTTGCGCATTTTCTTTTGAATTCCACAGAAAGTAAGAGAGGGAAAGTCCAAAGTTGAGAATCGCATTCTAATATGGGATTTTCAATAATCTTTGTGTCTTGTTCGACCTAAAACAAGTAGAAATTTGGCGCTAAAAGTTCTTATTGGTTGTGGGACTTCGGGAGAAGTGATTTTACCGAAAGTGCATGCAGCTGGCAGTCACGTACTTCATCATCTTCGTTCAAATTTCTCCTTTTAACGATGGTTGATTGTTTTAGCCATGACAAGTTGGTTAAAACATAAAATTCCTTATCGTAAATATGACTAGCAATTACGGTCTAGCTAAAACAGGTTGAAGCCTTTATAGTCCCTGTCAGTATACTTGTTTTATTCCCTCTAAGTTATATTTTCTCACGTCCTTTTCAGGCGGAAGGTGAATACGCCGAAGACGAAAACGCGATAATTCTCGGTGTTCAGGTCTCTCCAATTTGCTGTATCGGTCGTCTCCGGATGGTTCGGGCACGAAGTCTTGGTGAAGCTCTTGCCGATCATTTGCATGCAGCAGGTGCGGGTGAAATCCTTGCAGAAATTAGAGCAACTGGAACATCGAAATCAGATCCAGTTGAGCCTAAACAGACGCAGGAATCAGCTTCCACCACCAACGGTAATGCCAAAGTGTCTTCTCGATGAGCCCCTTTGCAAAACCTTCTTTAGGAGATATTTGAGTACCCATGACCTCTCCATTTCATATGTACTTAGCCTACCTAGTTAATATAACATCTTCTCTTGAATGGTGTCTTTTTGATTTAGCTTTGCTGTCTCATTGTCGTGCGCTTCCAAAGTTCAATGCCAATTAACTTTACTTATTTATAGAAATGACGGGCAAACCGAAGCACAAGCGTAAGGCCTTCTATCGACGTTGCGCTGCTGGTGAACAGAGAGCTAAGCAGCGTCGACTTGAAGCAGCAGGAGAGGCGGAAGGGAAGATGCCTATTCGACGCCTAGAACCAGGAATGACGGGGTTTCTCTTCACATCAAACAATAAGGACATTCATCAAGCGAAGATCGAAGTTTATAGACTCCTAAATGAAGCCAATACTCGCATTAATGGACCAAAGAAGGAGGAGGAGACGGAGGAAAAGGTATCAGAAGAGCAGAAATCTAATGAAGATGATGATTACGTAGATTTTGCTTCCGCTTTGAAAGAGGAGTTGAAATCGGACTCCAAATCTGGTCGATACATCTTTAACGGAGTTAAAACTGGTGTGTCAAATTGCGGTTTTGTCCTGAATCAGTCAGAGCATAATTCCTCAGCTGATCTTATAAACGACATCTTTCAACACACCATGGAGAATGGAGAAGCAGATACGAGGCGCGTTTTGCGTATACTGCCCATTGTTGGTACTTGCAGACCTGATGTTGATGATCTCAGTGCTCTCTTACGAAGGTCCTTTAAAGCCTATTGGGATAGTAGTGTTGAAGGCTCCGAGGATTTAGGACCTCTCTGTTTAATCTGCCCTAAAGTCCCCCTCCAAAGGGCCAGGTTTATTGAAAAACCTAATTCTGCGGATGCAAAATTGTACTTTACAGTGAATTTTAAGGCCAGAAACTACGACAAAATGAAGAAGGAAGAGGCTGTGATGGCAGTAATAACTACCTTGCAAGAAATTGCACCAGAATGGTCACCGATCACCCTTGGTGCTGATTTGATCATAAGCGTGGATGTCGTTTGCAATGTTCTCTGCTTAAGTTTCCTGGAAAAGTACAATGAATTTGCAAAGTATAATATCCAGCAAGCTGCGGAAATGTCGGGTGTAAGTAGTAAGGCATAATAAATGTATATTATAACTTTTTCATCATTTCCAAAATATAATCATTGTACAATCATTGGCAAAGCAAGTATGCATTGTACTAATAGCAGAAATGATTACTTAGCCCTTAAACACTCAAAGGACAGTGCGGTCCTTTTTCCAAATAGGCTCCGTTGGTAGTTGACTCGTAAGAGAAGGCGCTATTGCCGTTTGCAACATGTTCAATACGTGTCTATAGTCTTCGTTCGATACCACCAAAAATTCATCACCTTGGCAGGCATCAGTCGACGCTGGTTGGGTGCGTTTTTCCAGGAAAAAATAATTGGGGCATTGAAGGGTTAAACGCAGCTTAAGGGAGATAGTTCGGGACAAGCTTGACCCATAGTAATTGGCATTTTTGCTTCTCACCTCAAAGGACAATAGGCTTCATGTTTTTCTTTAAATTTGGCGTCGTAGTTGAGACTGACATTCTGATGGGGTTTTGATTGTTATGTCATTCATTAGTTTTTTGGGTTCTCTTTCGGCTTTCGTTGAAGTTTCCGATACGAAAAACTCTGAGAAGTGGAAAGATGACTTAGTTAAAACGTCGGTTTATCTATTAATAAATATGTTTACTTACTTAGGACTGGATATGCCTATGCACATGGGTATTTTCAACTTGGGGGGGGGGGGAACCAGTTGTTTTTCCTTATACATGCACCCGTCAAAGTAATTAGACCAATTGTTTCAAGTGCTCTTTTGTGACATAAGATTAAATATCTAGATGTTGACAAGAATTAAGCTTTTTTGTTTGTGTGCTTAAAATGTTTAATATCGAAGGCACGTGCCGTCGAGACAGTTGGAATGGGAAGTGGCTCCTAGACCCACTTGAAGGACTGAGTCATTGCAATGTTCCCTTATACAGGGTGTGCGATAGATTTGCCTCCACGTGGTGCACCTTGGGCAACGTATACTCATTGACCGGAAGTTGACTTTTGACTTCAAACTGCCATGATCCCACTGTATGTCATATTCTAGCACTTCCGCAGTACTCATCCTACCTTTTCTCTGCCTCTGTCTGTCTGTCTCTTTTACATCTGCAAATCACTCTTCTGTTCCCCACCCATCGACTTTCTGTTACTTTGATGTTCCTCCTTTCCCCTGTGAAGCCCGAAGTCAACTAAAGGGCTAATGATAGCCATCAAAACGCCTGTCATTTGATATAAATAAATAAATTAATTGTATGAAATATAAATAAATAAGTATAAATAAATGTTCCCTTATGCAGAGGGTTGTAATTGGCAAAATCTGCGAAGAACAGATTGCCTACAAGGCG